AGGATGTCACACTCACAGGACACCTCACATCACACTGATAGGAGGTCACACTCGCAGTCACAGGACACCTCACATCACACTGATAGGAGGTCACATCTTGCACAGGAAGCCACACCTCCCCTAGGAAGTCTGGCTGTTTTTGACAGATACTAACATGACCTTTTCCAGGCAAACTGAGGCTGGTCATGCCGTGTTTTATGTCACCTAGAGTCCAGTGCACTGTCAGCATTTCCCATCTGTTACACCCTCACAACAACCCTCAGAGTTTAAGTTTAGTTGGTGAAAAATTTCTTCAGGAATCAATTTTATTAATGGGCCCTTTACAGTTTGTGAATGCCTTTAAATCTTTATCTTTAAATCCTTCTCCTGATGACAACCCCGTGGTGGGTGGGTGCCCTGTCAGAGGACAGGGTGGAGGCCCAGAATGTCTGTCTTGTCCCGGTTTCCCAGCTCTGAGGTGGCAGAGTTAGGGCTGACTTGGGAGAGGGAACTATGTGCCCTCTGGTGGCTCTAGACATCCTGGGGAGGGACAAGAGTAGAAAAAAAATGTCCTTGAGATGATCCCACCTCATCTCCAGAAAAAGATCTGGATTCTCAAACTCATCAGGGCAAAGCGCCCACCCCAGGCCTCCCCCACCCATCAGTCCATGTTGTAGATACCGTGGCTGGCGCGTCTGGGCAGCGGCGTCTCATGCAGCTTTCTCTCTTGCTCCTTCAGAAGCAGTTCTGGATTTCTTACAACGGTGAGTCAGTGAACAGCTCATTTTGATCCTGCCCACCGGGCTTCTCCATAGCACACTAACACAAGCCCATTCCACAGATGGGGACCAGTGCACCTCAAATCCATGCCAGAACGGGGGTTCCTGTGAGGACCAGCTCCAGTCCTATGTCTGCTTCTGCCTCCCTGAATTTGAGGGCCGGAACTGTGAGACAAGTGAGGCTCTGCTCCCTGTCTCCTGTCCCCTGTCCTCTAGTGTGCCAAGGGCCCTGGGCAGCATAGAGGCCACCTGGCTGACCAAAACATGGATGTGCACACTGGTCCAGCCAGGGCTCAGCCCCAGAGGGAAGTCAATCAGGATGACCTTGAAGGCTCCTTCCAACATGACAGCCTTCCATCTAGGGCTTTAAGGCTCTAATTCTCAGACTTGATGGCCCCTTGGGCTCTAGCCCTGGTAAGTTCTGATGGGCCTGGAGAGGGCCCAGGCGAGTCTCTTTCATGTCCCACCAGGCAGGGAAGCTAAACTTCAAACTGCTCTACCTCTCTTTATACGGGGAATGAATTTTCTTTCTGTCTTCCAAATATTCAATTGTACAAAGTTCAGGGCCCTTGGTCCCCTAGAGGTTCAGTCACCAAAAGGCCTCACACCTAGAGGCTGATACAGTCACAGCATAACAGGGGAGCTGTCCTCTCTTGGTGGAGTCCTCAGTTCTCCCAGAACCTTGTGTGACAAGATGAATGGAGTACTTTCCTCCCTGGGAGGCTGCCCTGAAGCTCAGGGTGACTGCTCACCTGCTGACCTAAGTCTCACCCCCTCCGGGGGTGAGGTAGATACATTGGCCTGAGGCCTTCACCATAAACTATATTGTTAGCTAAACCATCCCACATGCCCCAAGGCCTGGATAAGCAATAACATTCCCTGGACAGGACCTTCCAGGGCTTGGTGGTCACCTCCCAGGAGCCAAGGACAAAGGCCACTCCTCTTTGGCAAAGTCTAGGCTTTCCGTCCAGGTGCTCAGCCTCTCAGTGAGTTAGATTTTCTGGGGTACAGCCATTGCCTTCTCCAAGCATAACAGAGCCCAGAGAGCATGGACGGAAACTGAGGAAAGAGACCCCCTGCTGCTCAGCCTCTGGTGCACAACAGCCCAGGATGAGCCTCCCACAGGGCAGCTCCCATTCCCCACATCAAGCTCAACTCATCTTTCTGAGCCCATTGTCAGTGCTGAGACTGTCCCCAGCTGGCTTACAGGCCTGCTGGCATAAGGCATGCTTGGAGACTATTACCTCTCTGACCCTCTTGCTGGCAGTGTCTCCTTCTCAGTAGGACACTTTTCACTATCTGCAAGGGGGCTTCACTGCTTCCCAGGGCCCTCCTCAGCTTCCCATCAGCTGTTTGCAAGGGTGATTGTCCTGGAGGTCACCATTTGCCAGCCTGGCATCCCCTAATGCCATCAAGGTGGCCCTGCCCCCCACTGGCCATACTGATTGGACATGTGACTCCTCCAGCTCCAGGTCCCATCCTCCAGGACAAATCCCCAGAGCAGGTGGTGTCAGGTCCCCACAGCCCACAGCTGAGCACCACTATCAAAGCAGACCCTCCTGCCATGGGGCAGTTTTCACAGACTCCAAGGCGGCCCCTCTCAGGCCATCATCTTCCTGTCCCTAGACAAGAATGACCAGCTGATCTGCTCAAATGAGAACGGTGGCTGTGAGCAGTACTGCAGCGACCACATGGAGGCCAAGCGCTCCTGCTGGTGCCACGAGGGGTACTCTCTGCAACCGGATGGGGTATCCTGTGCGCCCACAGGTGATGAGGTTCTGGGGCTCTTTGCTGTGTTTGTGCTCCAGATGCCTTGTCCTGCTATAAGTTACCTTCCTGGCTAAGAGGTGGGGGCAGCGTAGCATCCTCTGAGCACCTGCTGCTGGCTGGGGGTGGAGGGCAGAGAGGTGCCAGCCAGAGCCACAGTGAGCAGGACGGGCACCCTGGGGCAGTTCTCTGGATGGGTTCCCTGCCTACTCCAGCCAAGCCTGAGAAGCGATCAAGGCTGTCTCACTCCTGTTCCCCTGTGGGGCCTCTGCCAGGGCTTGTGAGTTTATATTGACACACCCAGAGTCTGTACCATCTGCTGCACAAGTCTAGATTCTAAAACTTTTTAAAGGCATGTGCTCTTAGGAAAATGGAATTGTTCTTCAGAGCAACCTCAAACTGATGGGGCTACAATTCCAAAGGCTGGGATACCCCAAACTGGCTGTGTCTCTTCACTAGACTAGAGGTCTCTAGTCACCTGAGCCTGAAATTGCTGCCACCACCACAGGTTTCTTCTCTGGCTCAAGGACTTTACTGGACCAGACTAAACAACAGGCATGGGATCAAAACAGCACACTGGTTCCAGCCGTGGCTCCTCTGAAGATGGAGCTTCCTTCACCTTTCAGTGAATTCACAGGGCACATCCTTTCCCTAGGAAAGCTAGCAGGGCCTGGTGCCCCGGTGCAGCCCCACCTGCTGTCAGCCTGGCAGTTAGCACAGGCTCCCAGCTGAGCCTTGCCCAGGCCCTGCACCACCCACCCCCATGTTGCCCAGCTCTCAGGGAACAGGAGCTTCTGAGCCTCTGCCCACCGACACATCATCTTTCACAAACCTTTCATCTTGCTGACTTTTGTTTTTTACAGTTGAATATCCATGTGGAAAAATACCTATTCTGGAAAAAAGAAACACCAGCAACCCTGAAGGCCGAATTGTGGGGGGCAAAGTGTGCCGCAAAGGGGAGTGTCCGTGGCAGGTAAGGTAGGGCTTCCCTGGCCCAAGGTGTTCTGGCCCTGGCCGCCCCTCTATGAGGGGTGCGGAACCTCCTGAATGAGACCAGTTAGCAGGCCTCAGAGTGAAACCAGGTGCCCAGCCCCAGGCTGGCCCACACCTTGCTCCCAGCTGGGCAGTGTCCTCCTTGCTGTTAGTGGGAAAGGGAAGAAGAAAATAATGTGACATCTGTTGAGGGCCTACTCCATCGAGAGAGCTGTGCCAGGCACTCAGCAGAGTTACTGCAGGTCATCCTTGGGGCAGCACTTTGGGGCAGGATCTTGCTGATACTTGCAAAATTAGGTGCACTGGGCCAAAGCTCTGAGCCAATCCTGGGAGGTGCACAGTAAGACCCAACAGCGACCTGCCCTGTGAGGGCAGTGCTGGAGAACAGCTCCTCCCGGGGCCAGGTCTAGACAGCTTTGCCCAGGAGGGACCCAAGGTTGGAGGTGACCACACAATGCCAGCGGCCCCTCGGGGTACACACCCCTCAGAGAACATTATGCCCTTGCCCAGGCCATGCTGACGCTGAACGGAGCTCTGCTATGTGGGGGGACCCTGGTCGACCCCAGCTGGGTCATCTCTGCAGCCCACTGCTTTGACAGAATCAAGAGTGGGAAGAACCTATCCGTAGTGTTAGGTAGGTGCCAGCCTGTCTCCTGACCTGAGGATGGGAATGCCTCAGGCCTGAGAGTCTGGGAAGCATGCTACTGAACTCCATGATCAGACGGATGCCTCTGGAAAGGGAAGTGGGCAGACTCAGGGCAGCTACTGTCCTAGCAGCCCCCTTCCTTCTCCAAGTAAAGCATAAAGAGACTTGGGGAGATGCAATGGCCACTCTGCCTCACCTGAGCAGAGGACCCTAAGGCTGATGCAGCCCCCAAGTGAGTCTCTGCCCTCTGGGTTGATGAACAAGGAGCCTGAGGAGGGTCAGACCGGGCAGGGAGGAACTATAGAGAATTTGACCCCTCATGGTCAGGATGAGGGGTCACTGGCCGCCAACACCCACTTCCAGATTCACCCCAGTCTCAGCTGCCCTGGGAGCCACAGGGTTCCCAGGGGTGGGCCTGGGGATCAGCCTGCCTTGTCTGGGAGGCCAGAGGGCAAAGATGAGACCTGGGGGATAGTGCTGGGAGGTGGCTGGACACAGCTGAGCACCCTCCCCATACCTCCAGGCGAGCACGACCTCAGCCAGGAGGAAGGGGACGAGCAGGTCCTGCACGTGGCACAGGTCATCGTGCCAGCCACTTACACCGCAGGCGTCCCAGACCACGACGTGGCCCTGCTCCGCCTGGACCCGCCAGCCCACCTGGCCACACACGTGGTGCCGCTGTGCCTGCCCGAGGCTGCCTTTGCAGCTCGCGTGCTGGCAGCTGTGCGCTTCTCCACTGTCAGCGGCTGGGGCCGGCTGCTGGAGCGTGGGGCCACAGCGCGGGAGCTCATGGCGGTGGACGTGCCCCGGCTCATGACACAGGACTGCGAGCAGCAGTCGCGGCGCCGGGCAGGTTCCCGGCGCCTCACCGAGAACATGTTCTGCGCGGGCTACCTTGACGGCAGCAAGGATGCCTGCAAGGGCGACAGTGGCGGCCCTCATGCCACGCGCTACCGGGGCACCTGGTACCTGACGGGCGTGGTCAGCTGGGGCGAAGGCTGCGCAGCCGCCGGCCACTTCGGGGTGTACACACGGGTGTCTCGCTACACTGAGTGGCTTCGTGGTCTCATGCGCTCTGAGTTGCGTCCAGACTTCCTGCTCCGGGCCCCGTTCCCCTAACCCAGCTCCTGGCCACCTGGAGATGCCCACACCAATCCAACTCTCTCCTCTTGGTTTGGGGGGGGGGGCGGAAGGGCAGAAACAGATGCGCAGAGATGAAGAAATGGAGATTTGGGAGGGGACACAGAGACACACAGCCAGGAGGGGATAGAGGGGTCTGAGAGAGGCCGGGACCTAAGGAGACAGCTGTGGAGCAGGGCACTGGTACCTGGTCCTGATGGCAAACAAGTAGCATTTACTTTAGGGTCAACCGAGGTCTGCAAACAAATGGTGGAGGGCTGAATCAAGTCACACTGTGTTGTAAATAAAGTATTATGGAATATTTGTTTAGTTACTGTCCCTGGAGCAGTTGAGACAGAGATGTCTGGACAAAACCACCATCTAACCTGCAAAGCCTGACACATTCAGTGCCCGGCCCTCTGCAGAAAGTCTCTGGGCCTAGAATCAGCAGGAACACGGATTCTGGCAACCTCCCAAGCCAGGCTGCCAAGACTCTTATAGTCTCAGCATGGGCCAGATGCCTGGACTCCAGGCTGACTCTGCTTATACTACAGACAAACCACTGTGTTGGTGAAACTGGAGTCAGCTGTCATGAAGGTGGCATCAGCGGACCATGCCCTCATCACCTCTGGGAAAGACAGCTTGCAAATGGACAGATGCTGCAGGCTTTTACTTGGGAATTGTGCAAACTAACCCAGGCTGAGGCTAGGGAAGATGCTCTGGCTTCTTGGAATGGAAATCTGGGGACAGGCCAGGAAAGAGAGCTCCCCGGGCTGTCACAGACCTTCCCGGCCTCAACTCCCAGGATAACTGCTTGTCGGGAGAGTGGGCAGTCCTGTCTGCACGGTGCACTTCTGGGCCTTCCTCTGATGGGGACCATGAAGCTGACATTCCACATTCCTGAAAAGACCAACCATACTAAGCAAGCACTCTGTGCATGCCCAGATTTCCCAGCCCCCACCCTGGCATGAGGTCAGGCCATGAGGTGGCCCAGCCTAGGGTGGCCCCCAACACTGGCCTTTCAATGCCCCTGCAGCTGCCCAGGGCCCCTGACATCTCTCCCTGCCTTCTCTTCTCTCCTCCCCCTGCCTCCTCCCCTGCCAGGCCCCCTAGACTTGGAAGACATGAGTAATTACCTTCACTAGGTTAAACCTTGGATAGTCCAGGCCCCTCTGTCCCCCACTATCCAGCCTGCCTTCACAGGGCCTGCTACATTGCCAGGGGATGTGGGGCCCTGTGACTGTGTCCGTGTCCAGGGGTCAGCATGGGGCCTAGGAGACAGCACCCACCAGCCTCTCACAGCAGAACCCCTCTCAGCTTGGTCCAATCCATCTTGTACCCAGCAGGACAGCAGGGGGCTTGCAGCAGAGCTCAACTATCCAAGCAGCAGGGAAGTGTTCTTCCTCCCAGAACTATGTGCAGGGGCCAGGTGGTCACAGCAAGGTCACCAGAACCTCTGGGTCCTTGAGCCCCTGGGTCTGAGGGTGGGTGGGGGCAGGTGCAAACCCAGCCTGCAGGAGTCCCCTGGTGGCCTGAGACTGCTGTGTCTAGGCACCACCTGATTGCGCTCAGAGAGCAGCCGAGTGGAAGGACAGGTTCAGACCAGGAACAGTATGAAGAGTACAAATCCCACATCCACCACCATGGCCATGGGCTCAATCTTCACCTCTCACTAAACTTTGGGTTTCTGTCCTGGAAAAATGATGAGAAAATGATACCTTTGTCATTTGTCAGGACTGAGAGTTAGATGCAAACATCTGAAAACTACAAAATGAAAATAAAATGTTTTCATTTTATGATAAGACAAAAGTCCCCATCCTGCAGCAGACCCCATCAGCCACCCAGCCCTGACTAGGGAAGGTGGGGCTGGGTAACCACACTCCCCAGTGTGGTCACTGTCCCCACCTGCCAGCAGGCTCGGCCCCAATCAGGAAGCTGGGATAAGCAGCAGGACAACAAGCTCTCCTCTGCACCCAGGAGAGTGGACTCTGCCCCCGGCGGCCTGTCACAGTGGGACCCTGCACTCAGCCACACCATGGCGAGCCTGCTGGGCCTTGCCCTGCTCAGTGTGTCCCTGGCTGGCCTTCTCCTGCCTGGGGAAAGTGGTGAGTGGCAGTTACCCTTCTGACTGTGGGGGGGGGGGGAGGGGGGGAGGCAAGGAGCAGGGAAGAGCAGGCAGTCGGGGGGATGTGCCCTCAAATCTCCACAGTATGCTTGGGGGAGGGTGTCCTGGCCCTATAAAATCTCTACGATATGCATGGGGGGTGCCCTGTTTGGCTTCAGGTGGCTGGAGTCAGCTTCATATGGGTGAGAGTCATCAGATGAGTAGATCAGAGGTCACAAAAAGACAAAAACACAGGGACAGGGACAGATAGTGAGATAGAGAAACAGAGACAGGAAAAGAGAGATAAGGAGAGACAGAGAGAGATAAGGAGAGACAGAGAGAGAAAAGGAGAGATAGAGAGAGAAAGGGAGATAGAGAAAGGAGGGGTGTGGGGGTGTCAGGCAGTAAGGAGAGGTCTGCCCTCTACTGCCAGAGTAAGGGGCACAGCAGAGGCCTTTCCAGCCAGGGAGGGGTGAGAGGGGTCACCACCCTCAGCTGACTCCACCTGGGAGGGGCTGCCCAAGGTGAGGTTGGACAGATGGGGGCACCAGGATGCCCAGGCTCCTGAGCCTGTCCAGAAGAGGCTCAGAAAGGGGAGAACTCAAGCAAGGCTTGGGGAGACACCAGAGGAGGGGTGGCACCTGTGGCAGGGGCCCAGGGTTTAGGGACCTAGGACAGGTTTGCCTCCTAGAGAAAGTAAAACACACAGGGGCCCCCAAGGCACAAGAGAAGAGAGAGCAGCAAGGGATAGACAGTCAAAAAGACCCTCGTGGGCAGAGGAGGGAGAAAAGATGGGGGGTGTGGGAGGGGAGAGACCCACTTGGGAGAATGGAAGGGGAAAGGCCTTCATGCGGGGGAAGGGGCACCAATGTGGACAAGGGAAGAGGAGACTCAAGGGAGGAAGACTGGACCTACAGAACCATGTTGACCTGGAGGGCTCTCCATTAGAAGGTACCCGTCTTCCTCCTGGGGTCCTCTCCCTCATGAGCCCCCATAGGAAGCTCTAGTTCCAGGACCCATCTTCTCAGTCCCACCCTTAGCTCCTACCCGTCCCAGCCTCTGTCCCACCCCTCGCCTCACAGAGGCCACAAAGCTAATTTCTCTGCTCTGCAGAGCTGCTCCTGCCACCCAAGTACCAGTACTGGTGCAGGCTACCCCTCCCTGCCCTGGCCACACCCTCTCCATCAGGCCACGCCTTCTCTATCAGGCCATGCCCCTTCTGGGTCACCCCCCTGCCCGGCCGTGGAGTGGACACCTGCTTTCACCCTCGGCCCAGGCTGTGAGCATGTGGGTATGGCGGTGGTGCCCAGTGCAGGCCTGGGAGCCTCCCCAGCCTCCCCTCAGAGACCCTGTCATCAGCCATCCAGTGTAGATGGCCCTGAAGGCAAGTCTGCTGTCCCAGGAGGTCCTACTGAAGATCTATCCTCAGCTCCCTTTGGTGGCTACTACCTTGTCCTCACTGGTTGGCGGCCCCTGTTTGCTCACGTTGCCATAACACAGTACCACAGACTGGGGGCTGCAAAATATATCATCTTGCAGTTGAAGGCCGGGGCTCAGAATCAAGGAGTCCACAGGGCTGGTTCCTGCCGAGGCTGTGAGGGAGAGTCTGTTTCGGCCTCGTCCCACTTTCAGCATTGCCCACCCTCCCTAGGGACCTGGCTTGCAGACACATCTCCACTCAGACAAATGTCTGAGACTCTGGAGTTTCCTGGTGTTTCATTAACTTCTTACGACAAGTGTACAGAAACCATGGTGTGTTTCATTCTAATGACCAGTCTCACTTTCTGCTGTAAACTTTGTTTTTAGAAGCAAGAGTACAGTGAGGGTCTCTGGAATTCCCTTCAGCTTATGATGATCATGGGCATTAGTGGAGTAAATTAAGATGAAGTCAGATCCTTGAAACCCAAACCACATCTAGTCTCCAGTCTCACTTTCTTCAGACCAGGAGGTATGTCTGCACAGCCTCCTTAATTTGACTAAAGAGTTGACTTGACTTGTTAATGAAAGCCATTAAAAGTGCCTAAATACGGTCCAGAGGCTGAGCCTTGAGGTCAGGCCAGTGGCCCAGTCTTTCCTTCATTCATTCATGCAACAATCATTACTGAGAACCTACTGTGCCCAGCCACTGGGGCACAGCTGTGACCAAGCAGGCTGTGCCCCAGACTTTCTGACATGAGGAAAGCAAGACTGGTCATTAGCAATGGAACATGCCAAGGTCTCCATACACTTGTCTTAAGAAGTTAATCTAGGGTGACTAGATTTTAACATTTGTAAGCGGGACAACATGGCCAGGGGGTGGGGTGGGACGAGGCAGGGCAGGGCCTGACAACAAGGCAAACTTTGATAAGCAGTTATCGATAATCACTTCTCAACAATTATTTGTTATTATTATAGTTTAACATTATAAAATTAACAAAAATAATATAAAACTCATATTCTGGCAAAATAGCCACATAGCAGCTGAAAACCGTATATTCCCTTTCTGTTCTCCCGCCCACTCGTGCACTCTTTCCAAAAATTGGGACTTTTTAAAAACGCCACGGGACGCGGGACAAATTGTTAGAAAGCGGGACTGTCCTGCCAAAAGCGGGACGTCTGGTCACCCTAAGTTAATCAGACCTTTGTTGTGAGTAGTTCTGCTCCAGGGATAGAGACAGCACCAAGCTCATCCATTTGTAACCCAGAGAGTGGATAGTGCCCGGGGGAGAGGTGCAGGGCCAGGGAGACATGGGAGGGGCAGTCCTGGAGAGCACGGCTGGGGCCTGAGAGGGGACGAGATGGTTAGCCTTGTGGGTACCTGACAGGGAAGGCACAGTCAAGGACACCCAGTGGGGGCGGTGCCTGTGGCTCAAGGAGTAGGGCACCAGCCCCATATACCAGAGGTGGAAGGTTCAAATCTGGCTCTGGCCAAGAACTGCCAAAAAAAAGGACAGCCAGGGGCCAGCATGGCAGAGAGAGGTGAGGGAAGGAAATCAGGAAGGAGGAGGCCCAGATACCCGGCCCTGGGGAGTCCTGGGGAGCCCTGGGGTCCATCCCAAGGCCAGTGGGAGTGGTGGATTCCTGGCATCACTCCTCCACTGTTGCCCATCACCATGTCCTCATGCGTCCAGCTCCAGCTGGAGTAACCCACCAGCTGGGAGGTGAGCAGGCTGGGAGGTGTGAAGAGGACTGGGCAGGGGCTGCAGAGGGAAGGAGTTCTCCATGGGCAACCTCAGGCCCATTATGCAAGCCTTGTCCAGTGTTTTCCAAATTATGACCTGTGAACTTGCTGCATTGCAGGGGCTGGAAGACCCACATTTTACCTTGCTCCCCAATATTCTAGAGCAGGGGCCAGAAGACCCACATTTTACCTTGCTCCCTGATATTCTAGAGCACACACGTGTGAACACCACTCTCCTGTTCCCTCCTTACTGTGCAGCTTCCACGTAGCCTAAGCGACATGCATTCAGTTTTCTCTTAGCCACCTAGAGCCATGGTGATGGTTCACAGATTTGTTGTGAGGGTCAGACCCCACTCAGCCTGACACTCACCCTGCTCTGATCACTGCCCCTCTTTTCCTCTGACTCCCCAAAGGAACTGGCTGGTCCACACTCCAGCCCCTTCTCCTTGGTGTCCATCCCTGAGCTCCTCAGGCTGTGGTCGTCTCAACACAGGACCCAGAGTAGGGGCCAGGTGGGCATTCCCTCCAGGGCTTCTCTGCACCTGAGGAGCGAGAGTGCCCAGCCTCCTGTGGAGTTGGGAGACCTGATGCTGAGGGCTGGGCAGCTGCATGGCAGGCCGTGCAGAGCAGACACACAGGGGCATGGGGCAGGGGCAGCAAGTAACTGGCTGAGCTGCCCTCAGCAGAATAAAGCAGAGGCATAAAAGAAACAGGACTTGGAAGGGAAAATAATCTGAGATAGGAATGAAGCTAACATTTGTCGAGCACCTTCTGTGCACCAAGCTCAGCACTAGCAGTTTTATGTACTCTCAAAACAACTCGAAGAAGTAGGTGCTCTAATTCCCATCTGCCAGTGGTAAGTAGTGAGTGACCAGGATGTACCTGAGATGCCAGACTGCTTGAGTCTGCAGTCCTGGAGCTCTGAGGTGAGGGGAGACAGAGGTCAGGGCTGAAAATACAGGACAGGTCAGTGTGGGGATGTCAACTTGGAGCATCATCTTTATCATGGTGACACTGAATTCTTCAGAGGAAAAAAGCACAAAGAAGAGGACAGAAAGCCACAAAAAAAATTGAAGGCCTCCCATATCACAATGAAAAGAGGAAGAGAAGTGAGTGAGAGACAGAGTGGCAAAGAGAGAGAGATGGGGCAGCAAGCCCCACACCTTAGCAGGGACACAGAGATTCCCAGTCAGAGCAATTTTAAAGAGTAGATTATGACCCACTTATAAGGCATGAAATCAATTCAGTGTTCTTTTTAATAAAATAGAATAGAATCAAATAGAAAATTTTGTAGTAAGTACTGTTCTTTAGAAAATAATAGTGAGTACTATTTCTTGAAAGTTGCTTTAATTTTGTGTGTGTGCATCCGTGTGTGTCCCAGGACTTGATATAATTGTATTTTTCATGGGTCATGGTCAAAACAGTCCACAACTCCCCACTAAACCAGGGGGGAGGCCTTAAAAGGGGGGAGGCAGAGGGCACAGCTTAGAGTGGGGCAGCTGGGGGACTCGCCAGCAGGCAGAGGGCTGGGTGGCCAGCTGGGGCTGGTGAGAGCATGCAGGGTCTGTGTCATGTCCCCTACTCAAAAGAAGGGTGCCTGGGGCTCAGTGCAGGAGGAGTGGGGCGCTCTTCCTCACGGCTCCCTTCATGCCCGAGGAGAGTCTGGCTTCCTGTAATGAGGCCCCAACAGGACACTGCAGTTCAGGAGAGGGCAGGTGATGGAGGGAGGGGTTTTCAACTCTTTGTCCTTCCCTATCTTCCAGTGTTTATTGATCGGGAACATGCCAACAACGTCCTGGTGAGAATCAGGAGGGCAAATTCATTTCTTGAAGAGGTGAAGAAAGGAAACCTTGAAAGAGAGTGTGTGGAGGAGACGTGCTCATACGAGGAGGCCCGAGAGGTCTTTGAGGACAACGACAAGACGGTAAAAGCTGGAGACTGGGGTGCCAGGCCCACGCTGGGCTGGAGGGTGCTCGATGGCCCTGATTTTTCCCTGCCGACTCTGAGCACCCAGACATCCATGCCAAGTTTCTGCAAAGAGGGCAGTGATCTGGGGGCTGTCCAGCGTGGAGAGTGGATGGAAGGGCTAGAGATGTCAGAATGACCTTATTACTGCCCTCCAAGGGCAAGCTTTCCAAGTTCTTGGTGATTACGGGGAAAAGAATTCCAGGATGCCGGCGGCGCCCGTGGCTCAGTGGGTAGGGCACCAGCCCCATATACTAAGGGTGGTGGGTTGGAACCCGGCCCCAGCCAAACTGCAACAAAAAATAGCTGGGCGTTGTGACAGGTGCCTGTAGTCCCAGCTATTCAGGAGGCTGAGGCAAGAGCTGGAGGTTGCTGTGAGCTGTGACGCTACAGCACTCAAATTCCAGGATGCACCACATAAGCCAAGCAAGTGGCTTGATCGTGACCCATGAAAAGTACAATCTGTATCAAGTCCTGGGACACACACACATAAACAGCTTTCTGTTCAGTCTCAGCAGAGCAAGCAGGCAGGCTCCAGAAACAGCAGGTGCACTCGGGGCAGTGGGGTTTTTGAATTTTTACTAATTGAGTAGGGAAGTATTCAAGATAAAGGGGTTGGCTTTACTTAAAATTTGGGTAGTAATTCCTAGAAATGAGTTGCTTCCCATTTTCATACATTATATGATGGTCTTGGAACTGTCACAGTGATTTCGAGGGTGATGTTTTAAGCCACAATGTAAATGTCATTGTAACTAGCCAAAGTTCACTTAGGGTGGCAGAGAGAGCTCACAGATCAATCAAAGTGATCAAAGCTCTTCTTGCCATGGGGGTCACCCCTCTAAGAACCTCTGCCTGAGAGGTGTTGACAATAACGCCTGAAACCACAGGCAGGCCCCAGCTCCCAGTCCCTGCAAGAGCAGCCCAGACCTTCCTGCCTGTAGACACCCTCCCACACCCAACTCCTCACCCTACAACCTCCTCCCACCTCTCTTTCCCCTTACTCCTGCCTCCTCAGCAAATAGTAGTGACACAAGAAGGGGGTGAGGATGGGTGGAAGTCACAACTCTTCTTGTGTCCATAAAGTAACAACATAAAATAAAAAGCTAATTTAAATGCCAGGTGCAGTGGCTCACCCCTGTAATCCCAGCACTCTGGAAGGCTGAAGCAGGTAGATCCCTTTAGCTCAGGAGTCTGAGACCAGCCTGAGCAAGAGCAAAACCCAACTCTACTAAAAATAGAAAAATTAGCCCAGCATCGTAGCAGGTGCCTGTAGTCCCAGCTACTCAGAAGGCTGAAGCAGGAGGATTGTCGGAACCCAGGAGTGTGAAGTTGCTGTGAGCTATGATGAGCCCATGGCACTCACCCCATGGTGACAGCGTGAGACTTCATCTAAAAAAAAACAAAAACCTCCCACGATGAACATGATCCATTGGTTATGGTGGCCAAGCTTTTCGTTACCTACCAAACAAACTGAATGTGAACTTAAATATGAGGATTGCTCCAGAACTCTATCACAAGGTGCTGGTTATTGGCAGGCATTGACTGGGTCTATGCAATTGAATACCAGTTCTGGAGTAAGACAATTAATTTGACTCACCATCCTGGGTGCACCACCCATGAGTTCTCCTTGGTTCCTGGAGACTATTATGATCTCGATGAAATCACAGAGAAGATTGTGTCAGGGGTGATAAAGCACACTACAAGTGGTTACAAGGTCATCCACCATCCAGATGGCCCAGAAGGCCAAGATGATGACATTGGTTTGACCCCCCCGCCCCCTTCTGGAGAATCAGCAGAGTAGAAGAGCTAAAGTCTTGGGTATAAAGCTTCCAGAACTAAAACTCAGAATTATTCATTCTCAATGTGTAACAAAAGATAGTTTTCTGGATATAGGATCATGCTCTGTCACTCATACTGGAGTGCAGTGTACAATACCTCACTGTAACCTTGAACTCCGGGACCCAAATGATCCTCCCACCTCTGCCTCCCAAGCACCTAAGACTACAGGTGTGCACTCCATGTCCAGCTATCAACAGTTTTCTTTTGGGGGGGTACAGATGGGGGTCTTGCTATATTATTCAGGCTGGTCTCAAATTCCAAGTGATCCTCCTGCTTTGGCCTGGGATTTATAGGCATGAACCCCTGCACCCAGTCACATAACAAAAGGTTTTGAAAATCATTTACCTCAGACAACAGCCAGCCTCCTTGATACACTTTATTCAAAGAGTTCCTGAAATGACTTATATCAACCCCACGTTCATCTCTTATCACCTGCAGGTAATAAGTTCTTTGGCCAAACAGACCACTCTCAGTATGGTCTCACTAAGAACTTTGAGCTGTTTGTCATGGAAGAAGCATTCCATGCCTACACTGAGCTGAACAGGTCCGTGCAGGTGCAGTACCAGCAGTTTTAAAAATGACACAAGGCCACGGGTGGTGATGAGGCTGTGTTCATAGATAAAAAGCTACATGTATGGGCTTCCCCCAACACCTGCTGGAGCATGGCTTCAGCTGTGACACCGTGCTCTCAGATAAAACACCTGCTGGAGCATGGCATCAGCTGTGACACCGTGCTCTCAGAGACCCAGAACATCAAGGTTATTTCTGTTTCCTGCGATGAAACCTAAAGACAAAAAGAAGAACACAGCAGCCACTGATGTGATGGAAAGCATAGCAATTACACTTACATTTAGAAAATTGCCTTGTTCACAGTGTCAGGGAGAAAGTATTCAGTTTCTATCACAAAGTTTGATAATAGCTGTAAGTTCTTTTTAGATGTACTTTATCACATTTAATAAGTTCTCTTCTATTTATACTCTGCTGATAGGTTTTTTTTTTAAGAACCATGAATGCGGGAGGTGCCTGTGGCTCAAAGGAGTAGGTGCTGGCCCCATATACTGGAGGTGGTGGGTTCAAACCCAGCCCCGGCCCAAAACTGCAAAAAAAAAAAAAAACAAAACAAACCTCATGAATGGATGGATATTAAATTTTGTTCAATTATTTTTCTACATCAGTTGATAGGATTGTGTGGACTTTCTTCTTTACATTGCTAATATGGCAGATTACATTATGGATTTTCAAATGCTGAATCCAGCCTTTGGTGCCCCAGATAAACTTACTTGGGCGTGGTGTACTATTCTCCATTCACACACTGCTGTATTCAGTTTGCTAATATTTTGTTGATGATTTTTATGTATGGCTTTTTTTCTCAGCCTGTTTTGTTATGTTGTATATTGATTTTTATTTAGCTCAAAATATTTTCTTACTTAAGACCTTCTTTTGACCTATGGATTATTTATAAATGGTCAGAGTTCTTAGAGTTTTCTAGTTATTTTTCTGTTGCTTATTTGTAGTTTAATTCCACTGTGGTCAGAAAAGATATTTGTCCAGAATATAAAAATAACTGTGTAGCTCCCTGTGGAGCTTTCTGATTCTGAAAGAGCATTCTCACTGATTTAAGACCCACCCCAATCCAGTGTGATCTCATCTGGATCCTCACCTTACTTATGTCTGCAAAGACCATATTAACAATTAAAGTTACATTCTGAGGTTCCAGGGAGTGTGAAGTGGGACAGGGCACTACTCAGCTACAGGCAATGAAACAAGTGAAGACTATGAATATTTTTTAACGTAATATAGACTCTCGATAGCCTGTTTTAAGTTAATTAGCAATTAACATTTTTTCAACTAACATAATGATTAATGACAAGCAAGTGATCATTTCAGGAATTTTTAGCCTAGGTATATTAATTAAAAACTATTCACTGATCAGCTAGAGAGTAGCAGACAGCAAACCATTCTTGGTATAATCTGTTTCTAGGTGATTAACTTGAAAATAAATATTCACTATTCAACAAGCATGTTGAACTGAGATGATTATAGCCATATCTTCACAGATGCAGATCTGAATAGCTCCTCCCATAGAGTAAATGGTTCTAGAACAATCACTCCTAAAAGTGACCTCTTTTGGGGAAAATACCCTGTTTAGGTTACGTTACTGGATTATGGTCGTTATTCATATAAATTGTCTCTGTTTTTCCTAATGCATTTTTAATTTTTTTCTTTTAGAATGAGTTCTGGAATAAATACAAAGGTGAGATTTCTTTCTGTTTTAAGTGAGAGGAGTTCATTAAGATATTTGAATTTTGAAAATACTTCCTATAGGCTGGTGCCTGTGGCTCAAGGAGTAGGGTGTCAGCCCCATATACCAGAGGTGGTGCGTTCAACCCCAGCCCTGGCCAAAAAACTGCAAAAAAAAAAAAAAAGAAAGAAAGAAAGAAAACACTTCCTATACTTCCTTTCTTCTCTGATTTTAATCTTATTCATTTAAGACTTTTCTCCTCAGGGTGTTTCTGTAACTGTTACTGTAAAATAGGTTTTACTGAAATTTTATACTAATTCTAGTTTTGTTATTCACTTAAATACAGATTTTAGTCAGTTCATCCTTATTTGAGCACACCAAATTCCATGATTATTTTTTAAAATACAAGTGTATTTGGTAGAGACAAAAAGTAGAATTGGAAAGATTGGATTCCCTGTGAAGGTAACCCCTGTGATGTAATGGTTATAGCGTCTGAAATGGTCTCAGTCATGATAATAGTATTTCCCATTTCTCAGAGTGACAGCTGGACCTGCCTCTAAACTAGATTATAAGAAGCCCCGTGCTAGTGATGCACACTAGTCTTTGCATTTGCATTCTCATTTTGCCCCCAGATAATTTGGGAAGAGGAACCCCAACATCCTCTCCTGTGAAGGCCCAGCCCAGAAGTGAGTGTCCAGAACTCACCTGTCTTCTGTCCTTCCAGCTGGTGCCCTGTGGTCACCAGCCCAAGGCCAGATAGGAAGAACTATTTACAGAAAAACAGGAAGCATCTCAAGTTACCCGAAAAGTGTGTGCCGAGGTTAACACAGCACAGTCACTGGTTTCCAAACCCTTCTTTGCAGATGGCGACCAGTGTGAGGGCAGCCCCTGTCAGAACCAGGGCGTGTGCAAGGACGGCCTGGGCCAGTACACCTGTACCTGCTTGGAAGGGTTCGAGGGCAAGAACTGCGAACTGCGTAGGTTCCTCGGCTCACGCACCTTCAGGAGCAGTCGGTGGGAAAGAGGGAGAAGCTCAGAGCCCGAGGAAACAACCCTGAGTCGTGTCTGACTCCAGAGTCCGCACCATGTTCCACTGCCCCACTTGTCGGGGTGGGCGTGATGAGACAGACACGTCTCTGTTCCTCGGAGACCTGTGGGCACTCGTGATGTGTCCAGCCCAGTCCTGTGCAGACAGGAGCTGACTCTCCCTGGGGAGGCGTGTCCTTGGTACTCACCTTCCTGGATCCTGCAAGCGTTGGGGAGGAACACTGAGATTATGCCATTATGAAAACCAGACACTTTAAAGTAATTCTACATGAAAAACATGCTGAGAGTTTTCTCTGAAACTCTAATACTAATTTTTAATAAAAATTGGGCTATTAGATCAGTTTTCCCTAAAGAGAAAAATATGTATTTCTTTTAAATTACTGACTTTATAATCTTTAAGCGTGGTTCTTAGCTAGGATTTCTTTTGAATTTTTCCTGGTAAGAATGTCAGTCATGGATCATTTCATTAGAAATTCAGAGTCGCCTTCCTCCGCACTGTTCGGCTAACTTATCAGGCATAATATCAAGTAGACCCCCAGCTATTGTGGATGTTTCTAAGACTCTGTCAGTGTTGATCTCTGCACTGGAATTACTTTTACAGTAACTTGCTATAGGTGTGTCTGGATTCTATATACATGGGAAGCAGGTTGGACAGCCTCAGCCTTCTTGAGGCCAGGGCTGCTGCCTCGCCCAGGCTGCAGGACCTATGGGCAGGTCTAAACTTGGACCTGGGGCCGACCTGACTCCAGTCCACTTGCTTACATCCACAGCTGTCCCTCTCATCTGCTTGCACCAATCAGAGCCCCAGTGTCCAGTCCCCACAGTGGGACATTACTCTCACAGAGTGCCCGAGGAGCCCGAGCCTGGCAGATGTGGCGACCTCCCCCCTGCTCCCTCCCATGCGTCTGCACGAACTCGGCCCCCTGCTCCAGCCCAGTGCCTGTTCTATGATTGGCCAGGGGATGGACAGAGCTGGCACCCTCTGGCCAGCTGCAGCCTGGGTTTCCCTGGCCTGTCTTATGAGCCAGCGTTCATGTCTTACAGTTACACGGAAGCTCTGCAGCCTGGACAATGGGGACTGTGACCAGTTCTGCCGAGAGGAGCAGAACGAGGTGGTGTGCTCCTGTGCCAGTGGGTACACCCTGGGTGACAACGGCAAGTCCTGCATCTCTACAGGTAGGAGGCTCATCGGGCCACTCGCCAAATGCCCCCGGGTCACAGAGACTAGCCCAGGGGAGCAGGTCAGCATCTCTGGGCAAGCCTCGCAGGTGGCAGCTCCAGGAGCAGAGCTCTGGTGCCCTGGGCTCAGGTTGTTCAAACACGAGGTCTGGAAACAGACCTTTGTTTCTGTGAGCCACATGTGCTGTTAACCTCAGTTCCCTTGTCTGAAAAGTTGGCCAATACTCTTACCTGACTCTTTTGGGGAGGGGACATGGTGAGGACCCTGACTCTGCGTGGTGATGGGTGACCACCCACCTAGAGGCAGCCCATGTATCTTGCAGCAGCCACCAGAAAGGGCAGGGCCCAGAGTAGGGGCCTGGAGGGGACCCAGAGCACCCCCAGAACAGACCTCTTTTCTGGAGATCTGAATTTATTCTTCAACTTGGCGAGTGTGACAAAAGGCTCCCAGAGGACAGTGACCTCTGGTAGACCAGGGAAACAGACCTCTGGTAGACCAGGGAAACAGACTCCCTGCCATGGACGCTGTAAGGGCTAAATGGGACCTGAGGTGGGCTCCTCACACACTGGCAAGCACAGGTCAGTCTCTGGGGCCAGTCCCTGCATCACTTACTCTGCCTCTCAGAGACCCCAACTCACCAGGCCTGGCGTCACCCAAGGGTGTGTTTGGAATGCAGGGTCCCAGGCCCCATCAGGAGCCACAGGTGACCATCAGCACACATGCAGAGTGGTTTCCTGCCAGGCGGCTGTGACAACTGTCCCTCCAGGGACTCAGCACTCCTGAGTGGTTCTGTCACTACACCCTCATATTCTTCTGGTTCAAAACTACCTATTTTAAGAGATGAATAACCAGGAAAAAGTTGGTTCCAAACATATCCTTCCAGTATTGCTTCAGTCACGTGACATGGAATCACTCAGCCAGTGAGGACAGTGTGGCTCCTGCCCCCATTGGCAATGGCGTCTCCAGCTAAGCTGGTTCAAAAATATTTTACCTGGTGTCATTTCCTGACATGCATGTAAGTATTTTTAATTCCAGAAATAATCAGAGATCAATTTAATATCAAGCTTGATGTTTGAAAATAAAATCTGGTAAACTGCTTCGTAGTTTGGAAGGTTCTGTCCTAAATCACAGATGACCCATTCATAGCATTGGAGATGGTGATTACAACTGTTAGCATGGAGCTTACAGGGGCAGCAGGGCCTTTATCGCCAGCTGAAAATTCACTGGTGTCCACTCCAAGGCAGGGGCCACTTTGGACCCTGAGAGCACAGCAGATAGAAAACCAAGCTGTGCTTATCGGGTCTCAGCACGTGACACAGAGGCCACTGGGCACTGTCTTCTCTTCTCCCACCTCCCCTCCCTAGCTGGCGATGGGACAGAGGGAACTCCCTCACGCCCACCCTGAGCCCCTTAGACACTGTCACGCACGGCACTCGGCTCCTTCTTACACCTCAGGTTGTTTGCTTATGTTGTTCCTTCTGCCTGGAAACATTTTTCTTCAATATTTTTATTACAGAAATTTTTTAAACACACAGCAAAATTAAAAGAACTTCACAGGAGGCCCCACAGCCACTGCTGCTCCCACTGCTGGGTCCTGTGTGTGCCTCACAGGCGCTGGCCCTGCCTGTCCTGACTTCCTGGTGCATTTCCAGGCAAGCTGCAGGCCTCTGTGCGTGTCCCCAGCACTCCTGCATGCCGACAGGGTCCCATGTTCACAGGTTGTTACTTGAGGTACAGTCAACACACGGACAACTGCATTTACCTGGAGACAGCCCCTGCTACACTGTCCCCTGGTGAGCTGTCTGAAGCATGGGAGCTCCTGGCTTTGCTGAAGCCCCAGCCTGCCCTTCTTTTCCAGACCTCTTTCCCTGTGGAAAGCTGACTCTGGGGCGTAGGAAGAGGTCAGAGTCTCAGGCCATGTCTGGCAGCGAGGAGCTCCCTAAAACCACAGTGCTAGGGCAGTATGACCAGGACCTGGTCCCCACTCAGGACCCCTACAACCTGCTGAACTTCAACCAGACATACCCCGAGGAGGATGACAGCGACCTTATCCGGATCGTGGGTGGCCGGGACTGCAAGGAAGGGGAGTGTCCCTGGCAGGTAACTGGGTGTTGGCCCCTCTGGCCTGGCTGGACAAGGGACCAGCCCCAGCCGGTTCTGGTAGGAGGCAGCCCCTGGGCCTCCAGGGATTCAACAGTTCTGCACTAGGATGGATGGTCTCCGCCAATGAGCACGCCTGCCCCCCTCCTCTGGGTGGCCCTGGGAGGCTGTGGGCTCCAACGTGAACGCAGCCTGAGATGAGAAAGGGGCCGGGGCCTAGGAGTCTCCCCCCTCACCTCACTGTGGTGTGCACCAAGAGCGTACTGTTCTGTGATGGGCAGAAGGGAAGGAAAAGGTGTAACCCCCACCCTGGAGGTCCCCAAACCTCACTCTACTCAGAGAGAAATAGTGTTAAAACCTGGGGTGGGCACCCTCGCCCGGGCAGGAGCATGTCAGCAGCCCCCGGGGGGCAAGGGCCCTTGCTGCTCTTCTGTCTGCGGCACAAAGAGTTATTGCCCTTTTTTCACTTCTAATTTGGTAATTTTTTTTTTTTACCCAAACACATAAACCCTGAGGGTGACAGAATCTTAGAAAAGCACATGTGTTTATTTTCAAAGGTAAAATTACTCTTTGTTGATTTGGACAATCATTGCCAGATTTAACACATAAAAACACAAGACTTTGGGGTGGCATCTGTGGCTCAAAGGAGTAGGGCGCTGGCCCCATATACCAGAGGTGGCAGGTTCAAACCCACCCCCAGCAAAAAACTGCAAAAAACAACAACAACAACAAAAAAAAAAACCCAAGACTTTCAGTTGAATTTGAATTTTACAGAATCAATGAATAACTTTTAATGGAAGTATGTCCCAAGTATTGCATAAGACATATTAAACATTATTTTCTGCTTATCCAGCCCGAATTTAATGGGGTACCCTGTATTACCTGACAGTCCTTGCTGGGACTGGGAATTCTCAATGTCCAAGGCCAGTGTGGCTCATCCGACAGGCAAAATTCCCAGAGCCAGCAACAACTTTCACAAATATCCTCAGCAGCCCCTGCCTCCACTTGCAAGCCCCACGGCAGGTGTGCATCTACCTTGTGAAGGAGCCAAGGGGACAAGCACTGCAGCAACGTGGCCATAATTTCTCACACACAGCACATGTCTGCTGAGAGCCTCCTGTGTGGCGGATGCCAAGCTGGGCACTGTGCATAGGGCCTATAGCCACAGAGCTGGGTGCTGTGTAGGGCGTGCAGCTGTGGTACTGCTTCTCTGATGTGTACCATAGAGTCTGCACCTAGAAAGAGAGCTGGGGCCCAAATCATCACACCCTGTGGGACTATGCCATTAGGGGCAAGAGCATGGCACCTGTGTGAGCTCCCAGGGCCCCCAACACAAGCTGCCGAGGGGCTGAGGTGTCGGGACCTGGAGCCCCGACAGAGGCTTTTCCAGGGCACCTGGCTCTTACAGGGCCCTCATACCCACTGGGGGATGGACTCCTGTTTACCTGCTCAGTCATGGCCCATCACATCATCCCCATTTTAGGAAGAATGGCTGGAGTCCAGCCTGAGAAACTGACCTTCCCTTACTCCTCACTCAGGTGGGACGAAGAATTGATGTGCTGTGCAAAAAAGGCAGAGGCTTTGCTGTTTCCCTAGTCACGAGTGTCTCCAGGAATCCTTTTTGGACTCTGTTGTTGCCCTGAGCTACCCACACACCAGCCAACGCCTGTCCTTTAGAAGATGGAAATCTCCTTTAGAGAAAGGAGGCCACTAAGCACTCAGGCTGCAGATTTGCAGGTCCCATCCTCTGGGAAGCTGTGTGGCGCATTTCAAGTGCCCATTGGTGCTCCTCCCCTGTGACCGTCCTGCCAGGAGGAAACCCCTTTCAGGAGTCGCCCTGGAGCTCCAAGGGAATTTCCTGGAAGGTGGTGTCCACACACTGAGGGGACAGGCTGTATTGATGCCCATCCTTGTCCCCAAAAAACCACACCGTTTAGGCAGGTGTTTCCTAGACTGGCACTGGCCTGTCTGGGGAGCAAGTCGCAGCCACACAGACAATGCAGGCTGTCACCCCAGTGATCATTTTTTCAAAAGCACTTGAAATATGATAGACCTTTGGTAGGTGGCCCACCCAAAGAGACTGTCACAAGCTGATCAGCATGCAAAAGTAGTCACCATAAGGAACTAGGCCTGCTGTAATGATGCATACATGTGGTGCATGTCTGATCTGTGAAAATCAAGTCACCTTAAGGATGTGGTCAGTGTAGGAAGAGGTCAGCTGTGGAGGTTCCATTGTGCATTCTGTGTGTAGTTAGCACTGTGACCAGATTTGGAAAAAACAAAATTGAATCCCTGTCAAAGCGAGTTTGTATCCAGGTGCAGAGAGAGACAAATAGAAGGACCTGCTTGAGTGGCAGTATCTGGCGTTTAGTAGGCCCTCGGTGATGACGGGAGGGTGGAGGCCAAGTAAGGTGTGCCAGGGCGGGGCTGGGAAGGCAGCTGGAGCCTGGGTGGGAGGCTGGCACAACAGGTGCAGGGCCAGGGTGGGCACAGGGAAGCCTTGACGGGGGTGCCCTGAGCCTGCAGAAGGTGGCAGTGGGGGACAGGTAGCAGGCAGGCTGAGGCCTGGGTGGTCCTCCCTGAGTGAGGGCCGACTCTCCCTGGGCAAAGGCCTACTTCAGCATGTCCTGCCCCAGGCCCTGCTGGTCAATGAGGAGAATGAAGGGTTCTGTGGAGGCACCATCCTCAGCGAGTTCCATGTGCTCACCGCCGCCCACTGCCTGCACCAGGCTAAGAGGTTCACCGTGAGGGTGGGTGAGTGACGCCCCAGAGACCCCTGGAACTGGGGGAGCTGAACTCATACTTGGGGGGTTGGGGTCCAATTCACAGAGGGAGAAGATGAGGAAGCAGAGCCAGCTTCTCCTCATACTCTCCCACACTGAGCACCACGTGCCCCCTAAGTTTTTACTTGCGGGGTCCTTTTGCAAACATCTGTCTTTCTCCTCTAGACCTGTAGAGCCGTCCAGGCACAATCCAGCACGTTGTGGGAACACACACACCAACCACACCTGCAATTTGCAAATTTTTGTTACCTTAAATTTTCTATTATACATTTAAAAATATAAAAAAACAGGTGAAGACTGGGCATGGTGGTTCACACCTATTACCCCAATCAATGCTTTAGGAGGTCCAGGTAGGGTTACCCCAGGAGCTGGGGGCTGCACTCCAGCCCAATGACAGAGACCCTATCCTGTGTCTTAAACGAAACACACAAACAAAAAACCACTCTTATTAGAAAGTGAGACTTTTATTAGAGTCTCACTTTGTTGCCCTTGGTGGAGTTACATGGCATAACTTATAGCAACCTCACATTCCTGGGCTCAAGCAATTCTCTTGTCTTAGTTTTCCTATTTTTAGCAGAGATGGGGCCTCACTCTTGCTCAGGCTAGTCTCTAACTCTTGAGCTCAAGCAATCCACCAGCCTTGGCCTCCCAGAATACTGGATTACAGGTGTGAGCCACAGCACCCAGCCAAGTGAAGTTAATTTCAATAACATCTTGTTTAATCAGATACATTCAAAATATTATCAAGTGGTCAAGTGTGACCAACTTAAAAGGCAGCAGTGAGATACTCTGCATTCTTTTCTGGCCTAAGTCTGCAGTTGCCCATCACAGTATCATGCTCACCAGGTGCTCATGTGCCCATGGGCTGGTTGCAACCCCAGAAGACAGCATGGGCCTAGAACGTGAGGCCATTAGCCTAGGTGCTGGGACAGTGCCTAGTACACACCCCAAGCCAGAGATGTATCTGTTGAAAAATAAGCAGGGAGTTTGCACAGAGCTATACACATACATGAATCTAAGGGCCCTGGGGAGTGAGAGTGAAGGTCATTTTTATTTATTTACTTCTTTGCATTTTTCCATATTTTTCAAAAGTGACCTTATACCCAAATGCATTTTTGGGGAGGAGGGGTTAGGGGATTCATTCAGATCAAATGCATTTTTTAATTTGAGAAAAATAGCTTATTTGCAAAGCACTCAGTGGGTGTGTGCACAGCCAGACAGTGCTGAGCGTGGCCTTGCTCTCTCACTGCAGGGGATCGTAACACAGAGAAGGAGGAAGGCAATGAGATGGTGCATGAGGTGGAGGTGGTGGTGAAGCACAACAGGTTTGTGAAAGAGACCTATGACTACGACATCGCCGTCCTCAGGCTGAAGACACCCATCACCTTCCGTGTGAATGTGGCCCCTGCCTGCCTGCCCGAGAAGGACTGGGCTGAGTCCACGCTGATGACACAGAAGACAGGCATTGTGAGTGGGTTTGGGCGCACTCATGAGATGGGCCGCCTGTCCCCCACGCTCAAGATGCTGGAGGTGCCCTACGTGGACCGTAACACCTGCAAGCTGTCCAGCAGCTTCACCATCACCCAGAACATGTTCTGCGCTGGCTACGAAGCCAGGCCTGAGGATGCCTGCCAAGGGGACAGCGGAGGCCCCCATGTCACCCGCTTTAAGAACACATATTTTGTGACGGGCATTGTCAGCTGGGGAGAAGGGTGCGCCAGGAAGGGCAAATACGGCATCTACACCAAGGTCACCGCCTTCCTCAAATGGATTAACAGGTCGATGAAAACCCAGGGCCCACCCCGGCTGGTGACCACCTCCCAGCCTCCCAGGTTGACTCGTCCTCTCCATTAAAGTGCCCTTGACAGCTATAGCACAGTGTCGTTTCCCTGAGGTCTCCTGTTCTCCTGCCCATCTTATCCTGACTGCTCCTAGCCTGGGGAGTGTCCATTTGGGCATCCACTTCCCAACTTCCCACTCCCAGGCTGGGGAATGCCCCAGAGAATCTCACTCTCTGTGGGATTGCAGCTGTGGCTGTAGGGAGGGTGCCACTGCTCTGCGCCAGCCCATTTCCTGACCTACCCATCCCCACCAGCTGTGCCCAGCACCATAGGGCAGTGTCAGTGTTCTGGGGCACACAATCCTGTCCAGGTGCCAGGGGGCCCAGGGTCTTGTGCTTGTCTCTGGGAAATGCTCTTCCCAGGGCCTCCTGTGCAGTGTGGGCTCCCTGGCAGGGAGAGGTGCAGACATTGGGCCAGTGAGGATGTCTGCAGTTGACCCGAGCAGCCGGTGCCCTTCAGGAGCCCTGGTGCCAGGCTCACCCCCAGTGGGCCTTGCATGGTGAGGTGTGCAGGCTTTGTCCCCTTGGCGAGTGCCCCCCAGACAGTGGGTGTCAACCCTGGCTGTGATTAGGACCTTTGGACTATAGACCTGTGTCCAGCCACGGCCCAGGCCCTGAGATCACTCTAGCGGTGGGAGTGCTGGCCAGAAGTTTCTGGACCTCCTCAGGTAACTGCACCATGCAGGTGGCTGGAGGGACTATGGGGCTCCTTCCTTCACTTACACCAAGGGGCCAAGTTCTTGCCTGACACACGTCACTGATGTCCCTGGGCTTTCAAGGTAAGAAGTCACAAAAACCAAATGGACCTTCAGTAAGCAGAAAAGGGCACCTCAGACAGGGCCTCCCATGTGTTCCCAACTTCTCTTTGCGTTTTTCCCACCTTTTCTAAGCAAAGTTTAAAAGTTCTAGTACAAAAACTTCCCTAAAATATGGAACAGGACAGAGCTTTTGTAAATAGGAGATGTTTCCAGGTCAGGAAAGATCAATGTGAACAGCATCCAACTTCCCAGAAACGGTCTGGTGGGCGTGGGAGGTGTTTGGGAACACTGTGCCAGGGCTTGTAGGGGGACTTTCTGGGCAGATGTGGTCTCTAGGACAAACCAGGGCTGGACCCGTCTCTAGAACCTGGGGAGCAGTATCACAGGGAATGTTGCCCCAAGGCCTCTGCCCTCAGCATTGCCCACTGGGAAGACGGCCAGTGCTGTACACTTTTGGCAACAGGAAGGAAACTCAGGGCTAAGGAGAGGAGGGTGGGAGAGACGACTGCCAAAGTCCAGGCCCTGCAGAGTGAGGGACACCATGGGGCTCCACTGGCAGCTGAGATCTTGGCTCTGAGGCCCAGGTGGTCAGCTTGGGTGGGGGCCCCCTTGCAATGCATGAGTATGGGGTGTCTACTATGTGGAAGATGACCCGGAAGGCAAGGGGTGCCAAGATGCCACCATGAAGCCCATCTCCTCTCACTGCTGTCCCACGCCCCATGACATTGCAGCTCCTGAGGGGCTTCTCTGTGGGAGCAGGGGACAAGGATTGGCCCCAGCAAGACGCTTGAGTTGCTGATGACCCAGAACATGGGATTCCTGTCTGTGAACATAGGAAGTAAGTAACGAGATGCTCTAGTCAGGACGGGGGCAGCAGGCACTGAGCCCACTCCCCTACCTGGAGCTGTTCTAGCAGGTTGGGGCAAGTCCCTGGGTAGCAGGACTGCTGTCCCCACTGGGGGTCACTGCCAGTCCTGAAGAAACCTCTCACAAGGGCTGTATTGGCCTAAAGGTGACTCTTCAGCTGACTTTGTGAAGACACAGCCTGTGGACACAACCTCTCCCAGGGAAGCACTTGTGTCACCCCTAATGGGACAAGTGGGCAACCTGTGTCCTGGCACAGGGTTAACCGCAGGGGACAGTGAGGTGAACCCACACTGAGGAAGGCCTGGTGAGGTCTGCAAGGGCCAAAGCCAGCTGTGAACCTGCCTCAGTGACTCTAAGGTGGGGATCCCATCAGACAGCCCCTGGCAGGCACGAGCCTACCTGCAAGTGAGGGCTGTGTGGGGATGTGGAGGGGACAGACAGATGCAAGATGGAGGGACTTCCGGGGTGATTCCTTACAGGGTGGGCGTGTAACTGGCAGGTTGTGATGGGAGATGTCCATGTAGCCCTCAGAACACGCATCAGCTCAGGGTGCCAAGCACAGTTCTAGGGGTCAGAGTTGCACTTTGTTCTTACAAAATGCCTGGGCCACTCAGTAGTGCTCAATGCTGTGGGGAGACCCACTGTGCAGGACTGAGGGGTGCAGGGAGGCCCTGAATAATAGGCAGGAGCAGGACATGGGTTATCCCTGTACAGGGGTGGGGTAGCAGAGCCTTAGTGGGCAAGAGACCAGTATGGCTGGGCATGGCAGGAGGGAGGCCCACACTACCCATGTCCCCGCCCCACTGCTCCAGTGTGAGTGCAGACCTACCAGGTCCCACACCTACAAGAGGCCTCAGAATGGAGGGCAGGCTGGAGAGCCCCTGGAGCCAATGGTGGCACTTGGTGGAAGTGGGGGGTGGGGATCACGCAGCTGATCCTTCCAAGTGCAGCCTGTCATTTGTGGGGACCTGCCAGCTGGCAGGCCAGCAATCTCAGGTGCCCTTCCTGGCTGGACTCTGTGGCTGTGCTGACCCTGGTGTCAGCTGACTCAAGGACAAGGTCTCAGCACACAGGCCCCAGTTACAGGAAGAAAGCAAACATGAACCAAACATGAGTTTGAGGAGCAGCTCACACAGGACAGAGATGGACTGTCAGAATCTGCAAGGGTGCTGGGTGCAGCCACTCCAGGAGGTGGAGGCAGGAGGACCACCTGAGCCCAGGATTTAAGGCTGCAGTGAGCTGTGATGACACCACTGCACTCCAGCCCAGTATCACTCGAGAACTTGTTGCAAATAAGTGGATCATCTAGCACCCAGACAGCCCCCAAGGGCACCACAACCTGCCCACTGAACCCTGGCCACACTGCAGATTTAGGGCAAACCAAAGGTGCTGCTGCTTTATGCCTCAAAGCCCTGGGAGGGCCTGTCCCGTGGCAGGAGGAACAAGGCGAAGGACACACAGGGAGTCTTGAGCCATGTGGCCCCTGTGGAGTAGGAGGGACATTGCACTTTTTAGAAAAGCCTGTCTTTGCACAAAGGGGACAAGTAGCTTTCAGAATCAACCTCGCAAAGATGAACTAAAAGTTTTTCTTCTTTAGTAAATCTTTGCAGACACACCTAGACACATTCTGAAGCAGCTGAGAAGTGGTGGAGCTCAAGAGACTTGAGCAAGCTCAGATTCAGGGCAGGGAACTGGGCTTCAAGGCCACATGTGGAGAAGGTTGCACTACGGGTCCTGAAGGCTGCAGGTTCCCACCCCTGAGTCCTAACGCCGAAGTGACTGCGTCTGAAAACAGGCTGTGTGTGGTTGTAGGCCAAGGTCCTGACCTGATAGGGCTTTGGCCTCACAAGGAAAGGGAGACACTGGCCCTCTCAGCAGAGAAGACAACGAGGGTCTGCAGCCACAGCAGCCCTCACAGAACCCGCCCCACAAGCACCTGCTTCAGTCAGACCTCCAGCTGCTGCAACAGGAGGAAAGAAATTTGGTTTTTTTTTTTTTTGAGACAAGAGTCTCAAGCTGTTGCCCTGTGTAGAGTGCTGTAACACCACAGCTCACAGCAATCTCAAACTCTTGGACTTAAGCACTTCTCTTGTCTCAGCCTCCCCAGTAGCTACAGGCACCCGCCACACCGCCCAGCTATTTTTTGGTTGTAGTTGTCATTGTTGTTTGATGGGCCTGGGCTGGAAACCCGCCAGCTCCAGTGTATATGGCTAGCACCTTAGCCGCTTGAGCTATAGGTGCCAAGCCAAGAAATTTGTTCTTTAGGCTGCCCAGCTGGTGGCACTTTGCCATACAACCAGAGCTGACCACACAGACTTTACAATGGTATGGCAGTCAAGGCCACAGTTATGCAGAAGAGACCAACTCCTGGTTCACTTGGTGGTCACTGAGTGGCATGGGATGCCTGGTGCTTCTCTGGGTGGCTAACTCTGTCCCCCTGCTGACCGAGTGTCCTGAGGACAGCTGTGGAAGGCCAGGTTAGGCAGCAATGTGAGGTGGGACAGGTGCATAAGTGCATTTTTAACTTATGATATTTTCAAAATACAGGGGGTTTCCTGGAACATGACCTTTATAAGTGGAGAAGCATCTACATAGGCAATCTATACAATGTGGGAAATTTAAATCAAATTCTGCTTTGAAAAGAAGCTTCAAGTTAACCAAGCATTTTGATGACATAAAATGTTCAAATTTAATATATAAAAATGGACATATCCTGGAAGATATAATGAAGAATATACCATCTGATAAATTCAGAATGCCTTTTTTATAGAAAGAACTACAGAAAATTACAAGGATAGCTTTAGGGACGACACTTAGGAAAAGTGGGCTGCAGCTGCCTTTACACAAAGCACCCTTCAGAGAAGTTCCACACACACTCTAGAACCAGCAGGGCTATTTACAGTTTCTGAAAGAGGATTCCACGTCTTCATGAAGTTGACATCTCTTATAAATAATGAAGTGGCCTCAGACACTCGGACTGTTAGGAAACGTAGCTTCAGCATCCCTGGAAATGCTCCTCAAAGGCTCCTGGCTTTGGAGGAGGCACAAGGCAGATTTCATCAGCAGGAACAAAATCTCGAGGACTCCCGTGTCCCCCTGGGGACGCATGTGTGGTTAACACACTGTAGACAGTGGAGGGAATGGGTTTTGCTTGCTGACAACCAGCTTCTGATGCTGATGTGATATATAACCTTTAATGTGACCCTGGAGGAAGAAAAAAGAAGGATTAGTTTACATTTCTAATCTGAATCAAAGCAAAGATAGAGAATGACTTAATTAGCCCCTTGGCACGGGCACATTCCCCCGATGAAGTGCAATTCGAGTCATTGGGACACCATATTAAATAAAAATAAATACTGTTGGCCCCCTATATCCATGGGTTTCACTTCCATGGACTCAACCAACCATAGACCAAAAATGCTACAAAAAAAAAAAAAAAAAAAGGATCTGTATTGCACATGACTCTTTCGGGCATCCTACTCTAAATGATAGAGTATAACAGCCATTTCTATAACATTTACGCTACATTTGGTATTACTGCAGTTGGAGGATGTGCACAGATTCTGTGCAAACTCTGCACCATTTTGTCAGGGACTTGAGCATCTGAGGACTTTGGAACCCAAGGTGGGGCCTGGAATCAACTCCCATGGACAGTGAGTGTTCACTCTGGCAGAAAACACATAAACACACAAAGCGTCTCCCTCATAAGGCCCTCTGAATGATATTTCCTGGGATAAAATTAGTTCTGTCAGAAAATACCTTCACAAAAGCAAAGGGCTTATTGACAATTTTAATACCACCACATTAAAACTTCAAATTCAAGACTGAATCCTGCTGTGAACAGCTGCATGGCTGCAGCAAGGACACACCATGTATATCAGGTTAGCGAGGATGCACTGGACCTCGTCCGTGTCCACGTCTTCCACCTGCATGAGCCTCAAGGCAACCAGGAAGGCGTCCAGGGACAGCTGGTGTGTCTTGAGTAGCAGATACCTAGGAGAGGGGGTGAAAAGGCCAGGACAATCACTAGCAGGACTGCGGCACATCAAAAGCCAAGAAAAGGTACTGTGAGTCAGTAAGGAAACAATATTGTTTAGTAATCAGTGTTGAAAAAGCAAAAATAATTTTTCTATCTATTAGATATACTCTAAAAATAAGATAGCTGGGTGGCACCTGTGGCTCAGTGGGTAGGGTACCGGCCCCATATACTGAGGGTGGTGGGTTGGAACCTGGCCCCGGCTAAATTGCAACAAAAAAATAGCTGGGCGTTGTCATGGGCACCTGTAGTCCCAGCTACTCAGGCTGAGGCAGGAGAATCACCTAAGCCCAGGAGTTGGAGGTTGCTGTGAGCTGTGATGCCACAGCACTCTACCCAGGGCAATAAAGTAAGACTCTGTCTCTAAAAAAATAAAAAATAAAATAAAAATAAGAGCTATCAAATATACCTTGAGGGCAGTGCCTGTGGCTCAATGGGTAGGGTACCAGCCCCATATACCGAGGGTGGAGGGTTTGAACCCGGCCCTGGCCAAACTGCAACAAAAAAATAGCTGGACGTTATGGTGGGCGCCTGTAGTACCGGCGACTCGGGAGGATGAGGCAAGAGAATCGACTAAGCCCATGCACTGGAGGTTGCTGTGAGCTGTGACACCTTAGCCTCTACCAAGGGCGACAAAGTGAGATTCTGTCTCTAAAAAATAAATAGATAAGATGAAGCCAAATACACCTTGACTTTTTAAATTAGGAAAAAAAAAAAAACCCACTACTACAAATATAGCTTTTCGTATTTACTAAGAATTTCATTAACTTTAGAGACACATATTTTTTGACATTTTAGTGTCTCTGAAACCAGGATGTATCTGACAATGGGCAGTGTCCTCTGGATTCAACAAAGTTGGGCCTTCCTGAGCTGGGTACGCCACCCCCGCATGTGGGAAGTCTGCCTTTACCTTACATTTAGGTAACTGAGGCCTGCTGGCATCAGGCCTCAGAAGAATCACCTTCCAGTGTCAAGTGTGAGACAAGGAGCCCCTGTGTAATATTTCACCTTCTGACACACAGGAGTGGCTCCTGCTGCCAGGTCTTCTCACCACACAGAACCCGGCCATTTACCCAGAAGTACGAGCCAAGCCTGTGCTGCTCACCTATCTCAGCACAAGGGTGGCAGTGGGGATGTTCCACTTTATTCCACATGATTAGAGGAACATGAGGGGCCTGCCCATGCAGTGCCCCCCAGCCAGCAACTTGTTTCTCAGCGCCTGATAGTTCAGCCACAGTCTCTCCAGAGTACAGACATATGGGGCAAATACTTACACTTTCTTGAAGAGATTTCTGTAGGTGATGATCTTCAGTTTCTCAAGGATAAGGAAGATACCACAGCGAATGAAGAATGTCTCGTGCTTGGTCAGTGCCTCGGTCAGCAGCAGCAGGTTGCCCTCGCTGGCCACCGGTGAGGAGACGCCACAGTTGCAGAGCAAAAGCCGAGAGTGTGTCAGAAAGCAGTGATCTCTCACACAGAATGCACAGTTTTTATTAGTTTTAAGTTTTTTAAAAATCTCTAATGGAAAAGAATAAAATACTCTACCTTACGGCTTTGGTTACCTCAGCAAACTGCATGAGATGGTACTTCTTTAAAAGCTCAATTGTTGGCATATGACCCTAAAACAGAGTTTTCCAGAATAAAAATGCTTTCATCTTTGACAGAATTGTCTTCAATAAAATTCTTTCCAAGGAATTAAATTTTTAAAAACTGCAACCTAAATTTCTTAGAACTTCTATGTGTAGCTGAGTGGGGATTAAAAACACTCTATGGTATGGAAATGACGCTGGCTTAAAACTCAGGCACATGGTGACCCGTGTCCTTGGCCTTGCCCTTCTCACAGCTCTTATCATTTATGTCCCAGGAAGGGAATGAGAACTGAAGAAACAGCAGTATAATTCTAAGATTCACGAATCACAGAAATATCTTCCAGGAGACTCAGCTAAAACATTGAGATCTGGTTGTCCTGTTAAGTAGGATTAGGTACAATGCCAATTGCTTTTTCAAATTACAGGTCACTCTGAACCACTTACGTTTGTTTTGTTTTTTTAGGTCCTCAGTAGAGTGCTCTGACGTCACAGCTCACAGCAACCTCTAACTCTTGGGCCTAGGCGATTCTCTTGCCTCAGCCTCCCAAGTAGCTGGAACTACAGGTGCCTGCCACAACACTCAGCTATTTTTTGTTGCAGTTTGGCTGGGGCTGGGTTCGAACCCACCACCCTTGGTATATGGGGCCAGTGCCCTACCCAGTGAGCCACAGATGCTGCCCCTAAACCACTTACACTTTAACCATAAGTGTATATTGCTTTTTTTTACCATAAGTGTATATTGCTTTTTTTTTTTTAATTTTTAAGTGGGAGAAAAGAAAGCTTGATCACTTTGAAAGCACAAAGACCTACAAAAACTGAGTAATAATCACTCACCAACAGCATTTTTACTGGAAGTAAATATATCAGAATCATTCTTTTGTTCTTCTGACTTGAACGGTGGCAGTGCTCAAAGGCAAATGACAAGTACTCCTCAGCTGCAAGATGACCAGTGACCCCGACAAGCATTAGACAAGATGACCAGGGACCCCGACAAGCATTAGACCCCAACACCTAAGCTCACCAGTCTCCTGACAGAGTTCCAAGTCACTACATCTCCCTTTCTGCCCCGCATGTCCCTACTGTCCCATCCTTAGGTATTTGTTTCGTCTTTTTTATGCCTTAAAAAACAGCCCAGCTTCATTTCTGTGATCAGAGAATTTTATTAGGTATAATTCACAGCCCCACATTCAACAAGAACTGTCTGGGCAGAAGGAAAACTGAGGAAATTTACTTGTACTGAGATTCTGGTTTACCTAAGGTCACCTGGAAAGCCATTGTGTTTAGCATGTTAAAAGTTTACCTCTGCTCAAATGATATCCATATTCATGGAAAACATAAAAACATCTTTTTTTTTTTTGAGATGGAGCCTCAAGCTATCCCCCTGGGTAGAGTGCCATGGCATCACAGCTCATAGCAACCTCCAACTCCTAGGCTCAAGCGAGTCTCCTGCCTCAGCCTCCCAAGTAGCTGGGACTACAGGCGCCTGCCACAACGCCTGGCCATTTTTTGGTTGCAGCCATCATTGTTGTTTGGCGGGCCCGGGCTGGGGATTCGAACCCGCCACCTTAGGTGTATGTGGCTGGCGCCTTAGCCGCTTGAGCCACAGGCGCCGAGCCAAAAAACATCTTAAAATGTACCTCTATAATCATTTTAATCATGTATAATTAAATAGAGTAAAAATAAATTGGAGAAACACCACCCTCCACTGTGTATATAATTTAGTGATCATGTACCTTCCACTTGATAAAAACATAAGCTTTAAAAAAAATTATTTTATTAACTTAATAATAGATAAATTCTGTCCTGACAGCAATAAGAGGGGATACCATTTCATGTAAAATATACTTGAATTTAACAGATTTCAAAATACAAAAATGATCAATTTGTCAAAACAAATGCTATAGACTGCACAGCACAGTCTTGCAGAGAGTTTAACACGTGCTAACTCGGAACTCTTCGAGCAGAGTGCAGAGGGCTGAGCTTTGTTGTAGAGGCCTGAAGGGTAAAGGTGAATGGCCAGAGACTTCTGGACAGTGGTTCTACCTTCTCCCCAGATAAGGAGAGGCTCTGCTGAGGCTGAGTCTGGTTCAAGAATCAGGAAAGTGAGATATGGCACTGTGGCTCACACCTGCAACCTCAGTGCTCTGGGAAGCCAAAGCAGGAGGATCGCGTGAGCCCAGGAGTTCGAGACCAACTGGGGCAACATAGTGAGACCCCATCTCAATAAAAAATGAAAGAATTAGGAAAGTGAGATGCTCCTTCAGACAGAGGCACCCTGACACTGACTGTTTATTCTTTCTGAATAATGATATAAAGTCCCAAATATGGTTCGGAACTATAGGCCATGTTACCCAAAGCAGCAGGCCCTGCAGTCTGGGCCTGGGGCCTGCGGGAACCTATAGTGAGAACCACTGCCTCTGCTCTAAAACTGTGTGGCCATTTGCAAAAATAAATGTATAGTGGAGCAGTGAGTACAGACACCCTCAGCCCACTGAGCTGTGCCCATTATCAGCCCTGCAGGTCAAGGGACAAGGACTCAGCTGGAAGTCTGCAGTATCCCCCCAGCTGCTAGAGCTTGTCTGCTGCAACCCAGTTCCTGAGAAGTGGACCTTCACTCCTGCTAAAGGTAACTGAACCCAAATTCCCTTGGACATACAAAAATGTGTTTCCTAACAGTTAATGCATGCTGAGATGTTCTGCTATCTTTGAGGAGACTTCAGACATTGTGCATCAAACAATGTATTTTGGTTGGAACAAAAATATTTAGAGGGATATAAATACCTGAAATTAATATATTATTTTAAGTATATAACGAGTGAGATACTCCAAATATAAAATCACACAAAAGAATTAAAATCATGGCTCGGCACCTGTGGCTCAAGCGGCTAAGGCATCGCCACATACACCTAAGGTGGCGGGTTCAAATCCATCCTGGGCCCGCCAAACAACAATGATGGCTACAACCAAAAAATAGCCGGGTGTTGTGGCAGGCGCCTGTGGTCCCAGCTACCTGGGAGGCAGAGGCAGAAGACTCGTTTGAGCCCAGAAGTTGGAGGTTGCTGTGAGCTGTGACACCACAGCACTCTACCCAGGGTGACAGCTTGAGGCTCTGTCTCAAAAAAAAAAAAAAAAAAGAATTAAAATCACCACAATCCTTGCAGACATTTTACCCACTTAAATACAATCTGGGGCTCTAGGGTTCCTCTCAGTGAAATGGAATCAGAATCACTGATTCTGCAGCACAAGGCAGAAGACACAAGAGCTCATGCACGTAAGTAAGTCCCTGATACACTCAGCAGTCTCAGAGAACCACCATCTCCACGACTCTGTTTCCTTAACGATGAAATGATAGTGATAGATGAGATTGTCTTGAAGGAACTTTTTAGCTCTAAAGGTTTTAGAAACTGAATACACAGTATCAAAATAACAAATCATTTGTGGTGTATTAGGTAGTCAAAAATATCACTCAATGAGTCCTCAGGGAAAAAATTATCAGTGTGATCAAAAGAATTCAACAAAAGATAATTTAAAAATATCTACCCTTATGCTTTATATTTTAAGGAAAAAAAAACGAGACAATAGAATTAATTCAGAAAAGCCCTTCTTTGAAACTGTGAAAGAAAATGAAAAGTCAGTCGGTTTAAGCCAACAGAGTCGCTTACTGTCACCAGTGCAGTGACGAGAGAGCCCGTGGCTGCAACCCACGGGGAGAAGAAGGCCTCCCAGCCATGCGGACTGTGGGGGCTGTGTGCCCAACAAAAGGCAAGGAAGTGAGTTTACAAGTCTGGTCTGAGCACACCAGGAGAGATCACAAAGCAGCACCTCCCACCAGCTAATCAAAAAGGATAGAAAAGAAGAAACTGGCTTCACATTCTAGAGAAAGTCAACAACATAAACCAATATGTTAACGTGACTTCACAACGTTCGGCACTGTGCCCAAATGATGCCCGCCCGCTAGGCCAAAAGCCACAACATGAAATGTGACACTGCACCCAGCCATGTCTCCACTGCTTGCTGAGTCATTCCCACAGGGGACTATTTAGGCAGTAAGTCAGTAGCTGAGCTCAACGTGGTCCTAACCTCCACTTCTTACGTCCACAAAACCAGCGTGCATTGCAGGGCCACAGGCTCAGAGAGAGCAGTGACGTACATTCTACTCACAGACAGCCATGCTGGGTAAGATAAGCTCAGAAAGGACTTCATGATAACTGTGACACTCTGAAAGTATTTCAGAGACCCAGTATAGAGTAAAAACCTTTAAATATAACTTACCTTTACTTAATATTGGTGTAATTAAAAAGTGTATATATAACTTGGACTTTCTTACACAAATATTCCACCTTAATAACCATGTTCTCTGAAGCTATCTCTGTCATTCAAGTTGCTCAGAATGCAACATTTTATTTGAAATACCAGAGAAGAGATTACACACCTTGCTTAAAGTCACTATCAAACATGGCCTTGCGGCCCACGTAGTACTTGTATGTGACTCTCTGGGCCATGCTGTAATCGTCTTTCAGGTTGGAGCTGTCGATGGCTCTGATTAGGGGTTTACACAGATGGAGCTTGTTGATCTATAGGAGGCAACAATCTATTTAAAATACTGAAAAACAACAATAGGCTCAGCACCTGTGGCTCACGTGACTAAGGCATCACATACACCTGAGCTGGCAGGTTTGAATCCAGCCTGGGCCCGCCAAACAATGATGGCTGCAACCAAAAAATAGCCAGACATTGTGGTGGGCACCTGTAGGCACAGCTACTTGGGAGGCGGAGGCAGGAGAATCGCTTGAGCCCAGGAGTTGGATGTTGCTGTGAGCTGTGATGCCACAGCAGTCTATCCAGGGCAACAGCTTTAGGCTCTGTCTCAAAAAAAAAAAAAAAAAAGGTAAAACAAACATATATTTCTACTTTACTAAGCATGTCTCCTCAAAATGGGAATTGCAAAATTTGTTAGATCAAAATTATTTATGTAATAATAATAATAAAACCTAAAACAAAAAACTACTGACACGGATGACCTCCTCAGAGCTGAGGAGCCTCCCAGCACTGCCCTCGGTCTACAGGCCGGTCTGTCCATCCACAGCTAATTATTACAATTGAGGACAGAAGGCTGCAGAGTAGAGCCACCTGCCTGTGGGTGCAATTCCACCAGTCAAGCTGCTTACTACACAAGTGCCTTAGTTTCCCTTGGAGCCAGTAATACCTCAGAGTTTGAATTTTGGTTTTTGTTTGTTTGTTTACAGAGGTCCTATTCTAGAAAGTTGTTGTTTTTCTTTTTTTGGGACAGAGTCTCAAGCTGTCACCCTGGATAGAGTGCTGTGACATCATAGCTCAAAGCAACCTCAAACTCTTGGGCTTAAAGCAATTTTCTTGCTTCAGCCTCCCTAGTAGCTGGGACTATAGACATTCACCACAATGCCCGGTTACTATTTTTGTTGCAGTTGTTACTGTTGTTTTAGCTGGCCCAGCCTTGGTGTATGTGGCCTGTGCCCTATCCCACTGAGCTACAGGTGTCACCTCTCATTCCCAGACTCAGGCAATCCTCCGGCCTCACTCTCCCATGGAGCTGAGACTACAGGCACATGTCACCACAACCAGTTAATTTATTTTTATTTCCATAATATTTTTGTACAGATGGGTCTCACTATGTTGCTTATACCAGAGTGCAGTGGTGTCATCATAGCTCATAGCAACCTCAAACTCCCAGGCTCAAGCAATCCTTCTGCTTCAGCCTCCCCAATAGCTGGGACTACAGATGTGTGCCACAACACCCAGCTAAGTTTTTATTTTTTTGTTAATAGAGGGTCTCAGTTTGTGCCCAGGCTGGCCTCAAACTCCTGGCTTCAAGCAATCCTCCCCCCTTGGCCTCCCAAAGTGCTGGGATTATAGGTGTGGGCTACTGTGCCCAGCAGTTTTAAATAAGACATTTGTAAAGCTTTTATGAATGATGCCTTGCACGAAGTAGTAGCTTTTTGAATGATGCCTTGATGAGTATCTGACACTCATCAAATGTCAGCTAACAGGACTATGAATGTGGTTACATCTGTTTCCCAAGCAATGCCAGAAAGTCCAGCTAATAATTAACATAAGTAATACCAGATATAGGAAGATCAGAGAAAGAATACTTACAAAGATATAAGTCTTCAAATAGAAACATACCTTAAAGTAAATTTTAAATAACTGATTCACCAGAAACAGCATCCCCCACTTCTTAGAGTCTTCTATGCCAGCACGACTAGGGGAAAATCATTTTTTAAAGTTACATACAAAATAAAAATTTTATTTATAAATTACAAAATAAACTGCTAAACATTAATATGGTAACATAAAATCTCACAGTCATAGTCATCAAATAAAAAAAACATTTTTAAAAGGATGTTTTTTGTAACAGGTAAAATTGGGGAGGAAAAAAAACCTCTAACCAGGAAAATCCCAATTAAATATATAAGTAACATGTTCCCTCCACTGCACCAGCGGAAAACTGCCCATTCTGCAGCAATATTATATAAAAGTAACTGTCTAAAAGCATTTTTGAAAATGTAAAAAATATTTTCTCTTCTCATTACAAGATGAACTAGTAAAATACACAAGGGTGAATCTCAAAAAGGAAGACACAAAAAATGCAGACTGTAGGATCCATTTGTACAAAGTCCTTGAACAGGCAAAGCTCACCCACAGTGAGACAATCAGGGCAGTAGCAAGGGGCCACCTGAAAGGAGGGAGAGGAGGGTTTCCAGAGTGAGGATAACATCCCACCTCTCAGCAGGGGTTTCAAGAACACAGGTGTGTGCACTTGCCAAAACTCAGACACGCAGTTTAGATTTACACACAGTTCATTTTAGTAAATTCTACCTCGAAAGAAAAAATAGAAAGGGAAGCATGTAGGGGAAAGGGTGCCTATATTTGCAATTAACTTTGAAATAGTCATGCAAAACATAGGATGTTTTAGTCAACAACAAACTGTGTTCCCCTAGACCCAATACTGTACTCATGTTTCAGTGTGTTCAGACACATAGACGCTTGTGGCTGTGTTGCAGCTGCCTGCAGCACTGCACTCCAGAGTCACACCACACAGGCTCGCAGTCCAGGGGCAGCAGGCTACTCATAGCAGCCCAAGTGCGCCGCGGCTGCAGCCCCCAGGTGTCTGCACATGTGCCCTGTGATGCCCGCACAGCCATGACATCACGCGAGGCTGCATCTCTCAGAACATATCCCCATCAAGTGATACCTGAATGTACATTCAAAAAAAAAAAAGAAGGAAACTGATGGAGAGACAGAGGGAAAGGTACGTGAGAAGACACAGCAGAGCAAGTGCAGTAGACTGGAGAGTATTCAGGTATTCACTGTGAAATTCTTTCAATTTTTCTGAAAGTTAAAATTTTTCATGGTAAAACACTGAAATAAATTCTGTTAAGCTGGCTATGCTCTGCACTCTGTAAATGATTCTCCCAGCTAAGAGTTCCCACAGGCAGTGGTGCCAGAGAGCAGCCCAGTGACAACTGCCTAGGACACGAGATCTGGGGACATGAGGTCAGAGCACCAAAAAGAAAAGTGCCCAGTACAGAAAATATGAGGCCTCTCACCAGCCAGAGAACACAAAGTTGCTCTAGACCAAAATATGCCCATATAGAAACACTGAAAATAACGTAAAAACAATTCAGTTTTGAAATAATTGGGTGGCGCCTGTGGCTCAAGGGCAGGGCGCCAGCTCCATATGCCAGAGGTGGTGGGTTCAAGCCCAGCCCTGGCCAAAAACTGCAAAACAAAACAAAGAAACGAAATAATCAAAGCTTGTTTTATAACTGCCCAAATTCATTTTCATTCTCCTCATCTGAAAATAGAGATAGATAGTAATACTGTTCCATCTACTCCTAAGGGTTATGGGGGAAAAAAAACTATGAACGCATAGCCAAGTTCTCTGTAAGGCATAAACGTGAAAATGCTTTGTTTATGGTAATACCCTCCTGGTCTGGCACCAGGAACAATGGCCTCTTCTGGAGACACGTGACAAGAGCAAACCCCAAGAGGAAGGGTTTGTTACTGAGGGTTTGCTTTTATCTCTCGGGCACCTATCTCAGAGTGGGACTGCAGGGTCACACACTAATCTGCATGTAACTTTCTGAGGCCCTGCAGGCGGCTCTGCACGGCAGCTGTGCCAGCTCACCCCCACCCCAACTCCATGTGCCTGCTTTCTGATCACAGCTGTCCTAGTGGGTATCAAGTGGCAACATTTCCAATGTCTGATGTATGTGCCTCAGTCATTGGGAGTTAGTGACATGAGCTGTGTGTGCTTCCTGGCCATTTGTGTGTCTTCAGATTTTTCAAACCCTTTACCCATTTTTAAATGGGATCATTTGTCTTTTAATCACTGAGTTATAACAGTTCTTTACATATACTGTAAATTAGACCCTTATCAGATATAATATTTGCAAACATTTTTCCCATTCTATGTTTTCTCACTTTTTTGATAATGCTTTGAAGCACAAGAGTTTTTAATTCTCATGAAATTCAGTTTAACTATTTTCCTTCTACGGCCTATGCTTTTAGCACCTCATCTAAGAGACTACTCACTGATCAAAGGTCACGAAGACCAGTGCTGTGCAGAAATGTGAGATCAAGCACAATTTCTGTATTCAATTCCAATGTTCCAGTGTTTTTAGTGTTAAGAAACACAAAGGCATCAGTGGTGAAGATGACACAGCCCTCCTGCTCTCTGCAGCTGAGCAGGCCACGCAGTCATCCGAACTGTTACCTCAGGGAGTACGAAGAACAGGACCATGGCCTGCCACGCACGTGTTAAAGATGAAGATCTGACTCCTGCCAGGTCCAGTGGAGAGAGGCCTGTTGAGAAGGCTGAAGTCTCTAAAATGAGTGGAGACAGCCTGAAGAGGGATGGGTGAGGCTGTTCTGGGCAGAGAAAACATCACTCACAAGGGACCTCCATGGGATGGACCTCAGTAAACCATGGACGTTTTTAAAGCCCACAGCCCCTACTCCTACTCACGTGTCACTGGCGCAGACACGGAAACAGCTCATCAGCAGCTCTGCGGCTTTCTCTAGCATGTCCCCAACTTTGCTTTTTCCTTTCTTTACCAACTGCTGATCTGCCTAACAGAATATTAAAAAATTATTTTTTTAAAGCAAAAACAGGTATATAAAAGTCAAAGTCCCAAAAGATCCCAGAGAAATCAGCTAGTGTATACTACAGAACTATGGAAATTGAGACGTCTATATGTTATCCTGATCCTTCCACAAACCAAGTAGGTCTTTGACTAATCTAAGCTTGTCATCTGTGGAAGCCTGCACCTGCAAGAGGCGTTCTTCGACCTTAGTCCCTGACCTTCCCATCAGGAACGGCCAAAACCCCTGAACAAAAACTTCTGAGACACAGAAGCCTCACCGGGTCTGGCCTTCTCCTGTCTTTATGGGGTGGTCTTGGTTAAAGGAGGACCACCACTTCCTCCCAGGCAAGGAGCCCTGGGGGCTTCCATGCCCCTGCAATTGACAGCCCTAAGCCACTGATCATCTTTTTGACTGCACTGACATCTGGTTTTACCCTCCTGGGGCACCAGACTACACTCCTCACTGTGCCCTTAACACCACACATTCGCAGTTAATCAAAGAACCAATAAAACAAGTTTCTCTTTGAAATGGCCTTTGGTTTGGATTCAACAAACCAAGTGTGTCAGTACCAGGAACTGACGCACAACTCAGTGAGCCAAAATTTACAAATTACACCCCAACCCCCGACTGAAGGCCTTTGCCCCACGGCAGTTCATATGGTGCAATCCGGAGATGCGGCTGCTAAGAGGTGATGAGGTTATGGGGATGCAGGTCCCATGGATGGGATTAGTCTTCTGCGAAAAGGACCCAAGAGAGCAGCCTTTTCCTTCTCCCACATGAGGACGCAGTGAGAAGGCGCTGTCTGCAAGCCAGGAGGGCTTCACCAGACACTCAATCTGCTGGTGACTTGATCTCGGACTTCTAGGCTCCAGAACTGTAAGAAGTAAATGTGTTGCTTACAGCCAGTTTACAGTCTTATTACAACAGCCCAAATGGGCTGAGACAGGAGTCATGCGTGATGCTGCCAGGTTGCGCACAAGGAAAGAACCACTTGCAGCGTGTGACAGCCGTGGGTTTCACATGAGGGCAGAGCAAGTTCACATGGAGCTTCAGAGGCCACACAGTGACCAACCTCTGGCAGTCAAAGAATTATTTACAATGATCTGAAAAGTCTATTAAAATTCGCCTCCCTTTTCCACCTCTATCTGTGTGAGGCTAGAATGTCCATGAGTACTTCAGTCAGACGGGCATTCTAAAGTGGAAGAAGTGCAGAGCAGGTAAGGGAGGCCAGGCTTCTGCTAACCAGACATTGAAGAGTAAAAGGCAAACAAGGACACCTTTGTTTTCAAAATGCATTTATTTCTTATTTAAAAAGTAGGTTATGAACCAGGCATGGTGGCTCATGCCTATGCCTATAATCCCAGCACTCTGGGAGGCCAAGGTAGATAGGTCTCTTGAGCTCAGGAGTTGAGACCAGCCTGAGCAAGAATGAGGCCTCATCTCTACTAAAAATAGAAAAACTAGCTGGACATGATGGTGGGAGCCTTTAGTCCCAGATACTTGGGAGGCTGAGACAGGAAGATAACTTGAGCCCAAGAATTTAAGGTTGTTGGCTTGCTGCCGGTAGCACAGCAGTTCCAGTGCTGGCTAAATACACCGATGCTGGCGGGTTTGAACCCAGTCTGGGCCAGCTAAACAACAATGACAACTGCAACAAAAAAATAGCTGGGCGCTGTGGCGGGTGCCTGTAGTCCCAGCTACTTGGGAGCTGAGACAAGAGAATTGCTTAAGCCCAAGAGTAGGAGGTTACTGTGAGCTGTGACACCATGGCACTCGACTGAGGGTGACATAGTGTGGCAAAAAAAAAAAAAAAAAAATTTCTGAAGTTGCTGTAAGCTAGGCTGACACTACAGCACTTAACCCAGAGTGACAGAGTGAGACTCTGTTTCAAAAATAAAGTTATGTCAACATACAAAAGGTTTATTATTTTTATTTCCAAAGGAATAAATACTTAAGGATTTTTCCAGGTAAAAATTCTAATACAGTAAATATAAATAGCCATAACAGAAGTAAACAAAAGCAGGCAAGGTGGCATGCACCTGTGGTCCCAGCTACTTGGGAGGCTGAGGCGGGAGGATCCCTGAGTTCAGGAGGCTGAAGCAGTGAGTTGTGGCTGTGCTTGTGAGCAGTCATTGTGCTCCAGCCTGGGCAACACAGCAAGACTTGTCTCTATAAATACATAAACAAACAAAATCTCTCAGGGCTCCCTTAAATCAATTTAGAAAAAAAGAAAAAAGAGCTCTTGGAGGTCATCAGTGCACATCTTTTCCAGTTCTAAACTTTCTATTTCATTCTTCATGTCTTCTATTTCCTTGCCGAGACTTCCAGCGTTTCCATTTGTTTCAAGCACACTGGAAGTGCTCACCAAAGCATCTGTAGATGGCTGCCTCCAAGCCCCTGTGAGATAATCCCAGCATCTGTGTAACCTCAGTGTTGGTACGGTGAAACGTCCTTTCCTATGTAAAATCTGAAGAGGCTGAGATGGCCTGGTTCTTGGTATGATCCCGACTTTACTAGGTGCACCCAGCCTGATTGGGCCAGGCTCCCCCTTAGTCTCTGCAACATGGGAGTGGGGCAATCCTGGACACAGGAAACCCCTGAGTGGGTTTCCTCAGAGCTTTTTGTTCCTGCCTGTCGGTGTTTCATGACACAAGGCAAGAGAGGACCCAGGGACCTCCTACACGGGACTCTTCTCTGCCCCTCCCAGAGCCTTGCTGGCATGAGAACTCCCAGGGTTTTACCTGTTTTTCACAGGAGAAATACAGAGAAATTTACTTCATCCTGTCCTGAATCAAAGTTATCAATAATTTTAAAACTGTAAAAGAATCCTAAGACCAAAAAGCTGACAAATGCTGGGCTCACATGGACCCCCCAAAAGGAAGTTACCTCCATCAAATCCAGGCTCTTCCCTCACACCAGAGAAACCTTAGGCTACTGCCCAAATCTACAATAAGCAGAATTCTTATCTATTCAATTATTTTTAGAGACAAGGTCTCACTCTGTCACCCCGGTTAAAGTGCAGTGGTGTGATCATAACTCACTGTAGTCAAACTCCTGGGCTCAGGTGATCCTCTCACCTCAGCTCCTAGGTAGCTGGGACTACAAGTGTGTCACTATGCCCAGCTAATTTTTAAAAAACTTTTTGTTTTTAGAGATAGGGTCTAGGTGTGTTGTCCAGGGTGGTCTCCAATTTCTGGCCTCTATCAATCCTCCCACTTTAGCATCCCAAAGTACTGGGATTATAGCATGAGCCACCATGTCTGGCCTTAAACAAATTCTTTAAGTGAGGGGATGGGCTGCATCTTAAGAGGGAATGAGAATGTAGAATCCCTCATTTGTTGTTCCGCTCCTTTTTAAAATAAAAATATATGCCATAAATGGTTACTCATATACAGAAACACCTCTCCGTACAGATCTGAGAAAATGTTTATTTAAGTCTGTTTGCCTTGACCCAGAAAGAATAACTAGTCAGGCTCCCTCTTGTTTTTCTGTTCCTTCTACCAGACACATCCCAACCCCACTCGTTCAAAATGTGGGTAGGAAATTAAACTTACATTATTGGCAAATACTCGAAGGTCCAGCGCCACTGCGTACATGACGGGCAGGGCCCTATGGCAGAAAGTAAGCACAGGTGAAGAGGACGCGAGGGCCGAGCCCCCACCTTGGGCAGAACTCCTACAGGCAACTGCCATAAGGGGGTCCGCAGCAGCCCCCCGAACTCCACCAGGCAGTACAGGCCACAACTGTAGTGCCCCATACACCACCCCCAGGCACTTCAGTTTTCCAAGGAACCCACCTTCTCAACTCTCCACCACTATCCAAACAGCCCCACTGAAAAGAGATGTGTTTGGTAAGACCCCCCCCCCCAGAAAGCAGAGCAGGAACACACAGCACTTCCTGAGACAACTGGACTCCTAGTTGGTAACCCTTAACTCCTTTCACAGGTAAATCTTCACTTAATACAGGAAAAGGGTAGGGTTTTTGTTTGTAAAGGTCTTTGGTTAGTTTAGTATAAGCAAAATTTCAATATTTACCTATAGTTTGTTAATGAATCATAAAGTTCAGAATTTGGCAAAGAATTTAAAATACCCCAACATGATGTTATATCACTCAATAAATTATAGTTGGTCTACTTTTTTAATAAAAAGTTTAAAACTAGAAGTTCAAAATTGATGAAGGAAAGAAAAAATAGTATTTAATAAATATTCAAAAGCATGGAAGTACAGAAATAAAAATGACACTTTATATATTTATAGACACAGGGCAAATGAACGGTCTGATCTGCCAGTCAGTTACACAGATGTCACAACTCCCATTATCCCTGTTGATACCATAATATGTCAACACACCAGTGTTAAAAATCTACATAGAAAATAAGAGACATACAAATTTTAGGATAAGTCTGTCAGATTCTGTGGAAAAACGAGTTAGAATTTTGAT